AGAATCGGCTTTTCGACTTCTCTTGTTATTGCCAACTCTATTTTTGCATCAAATTTTAATTGCGTGTGCAGCTATCTAGCTATGACACAATATCGGAGAAAATGTACATCATAGATGTCCCAATTTAAAAGTAGAGCACTCATGCCTCGGATATCAATTCCAGGAACCACTGAAGTATTGGCGGCTTTTCCTTCACACCAAGTCTACCCTCATCGTGAATACCCATCCAAGGAAACGTCTCAGAAACCCCGAGTTACGTAGACATGCCACCATCATTCATTGACTTTTCCCCACGCGAAATGTGATCGTAGGTGTCTCTTTCCCAAGTGGAGTAGGTGCCTAGGCAACTCAAACTATACCGGAGAACACCACCAGGAGGCGGACCATGGCACCTTCAATCGTAGGCTTTTATTTAATTCATATTGTATTAATTCCATTGTAAACTTGTGTTATAGTGTCGGCTACACCCTCACAATCGAAGTGTTAGCGCACACATTTCTCTTTAATGTGTAAATCTCCCTGCCAAAATTATAAGCCTAACACCCGTCGAGATTGTTTTCTTCCTTTGCATCATCTATTAAAATTGTCCTGATCTTTCTCACGTCCTTCCAAAACAAATTCCCACCGAATCTGTGCCCCACGATTTTTGTCCTCATGCGAGTATTCGTATTGTAATGGGCATATACTTAGTGGCCAGCTGAGACCATAAAATTGTCGATAAAAAGTTTAAACATTGAAATGAGAATATGCTAGGTCGTACTTGCAAACTTGATAAGGCCTCGATAGGAATCGACATCAATGGGAGTGAAAATTTGACATGGTGGATTATTATGAATCATTGCCTCGTAGATAAACTTCTTTGGGATTGCGAAATTTGACTGAACTTGGCTCTGGAAGTATATTTTACTCCCGGGCTCGCCGAGGACACCGTGTACTGGTGTTCAGTCTTGCCTTCTGTGAGGAAAGCCTTGTAGGAGGCATAGAAGAGGATTTACCGATGGAGATTTTGATGTCCCTAGCTTGTTGGCGAAAATAACTTTTATTTCATGTGCTTGTGTAGATTGAGAAATTTCAGTAACATAAAATTCGACTAGTTGTCTCCGTCGTCAGCTGCACTCCTCCTATCTGAGACACATCATCTCGTGCATTGGACCCCCATATGTACAGAGCACTCGGACATCTTCTGTCACACGGACCGATCCGTGAAAGGTAATGTGGGAAGTTGCTTGTTGATGTTGTGAGAGTGTTTATTGTCCTAAATAGTCTTTTTTTTTTTTTAAAATCATTTAATGTGTATTCAGCTACCTAGCTATGACACATGACCGGTGCTATGTATACATGTGGGATGACTCTTTTGACGTTAGAGACACTCATACTCTTGATTTCATTTGCAAATACCACTATGAGGTATGTTCGCTTATACGAACAGTCGACCCTCCTCCGTTAGTACCCACCAAAGGGAATTTAAAAACCTTTGATTATCCAAGCATGCCTTCATCATCCATGCATACCAGCGCCGCGAGAAATGTGGTTGTGTTTTGCCGGATTCGAACCAGCGATATACTGTCTCAAGCGGGATATGTGTCCAAACTATCCAGACTCTACTTGGCAGACCGGCCAAGATGATGTACCACCGCACCATCCAACCATGGCAGTTTTTATAGTATCGCCTGCACTCTTACTAAATAGTCTATAAATATATAAGGACATGTAAGTCCTTTCTGCCTATAGGCCGGGAGTATCTATACCTCGGGTAGTGTACTCCCTCCTTTGCCTCCTGTTAGGGTATAGGGAAGACTTCGGAGTAAGAATTGCCTGAGAACGGAGAAGAAGTTCTATCTGCTTAATTGACTAATACACTACAGGTATTATGATATATACAGTGGAATTACAAGAAAGAGGTTATCCGGAACCGACTCGACTGCAGAAATAAATGGGACCCCAGACCAGAAAATAATTATCCACTGACTCAGAATACTGGGTCATGCAATAGAAATACGAACAAACCAATGACTGGATTTGTTCGGGAAGAATGGGATTCAAGCAGACTCTAACGTTGAGTCCGATTGAATCAGAAGTGTGGGATCCTGCCTGACCTCAGAAATGTAGTTCAGGCAAGATGCATGCAACCACATTGGTCGATAGAAAGAAAAGCAGGAAACTGTATTTCCAACACCTCCCTCACGACTTCTTTCCAGCTGTAATACCTCCATAGGTCTTCATTCAAGTACACACTAAGAGGAGCCGTTATCCCGTCATTATCTCCCCTCTCCAGCCAAAGAAACGATGGCCATTTGCGGGTATGTAGCTGCAGGGAAAAGTCTCAAAACCCACTGGATGCGGGGCTCTCCTATGACAAGGAGGCCGGCCAGCCGGGCGCAGTAGACCTGTGTATACCTAAGAGCGTCTCTCAACCTTCCTAGCCTCCTCCTTACGCCTCCCTTGATTCATACCGCAGGTCAAACCGAAGGTCGTGAAAGGATGTCAGAAAAGTCTTGGTCGAGAGTGACTGTCTTGAAGGAGCCTAGCCTAGCATCCAAAAGTCGTTACGGACGTGGGGTTGTCGAGTAACTCATGTATTTTAGAAGCTCTCCTGGCTAGTAGATTCAGAGGTATAGATTAGTAGGGACGATATTTTTGACGAGTCGAAATCTACTTTTCTTGAGGGCAGAAGGGTCTTTTACTTTGCTTTCGTGGGCTTTTTGTTCGCTCGCCGGTGGGTAGCACATGTTGTGTTATAATGAGGGCTTCTCTGACTACCGTTTTTTTTTTTTTTTTTTTTTTTGCATCAGATTTTAATTGCGTATGCAGCTATCTAGCTATGACACAATATCAGAGAAGTGTATGATAGATGACTCAATTTACAAGAAGAGCACTCATGCCTCGGATTTCATTTGCAAGTACCACTGCGAAGTTATGGTGGCTTTTTCTTCACCCCAAGTCAACCCTCATCCGTGAATACCAACCCAGGGGAACATCTCAAAAACCCTGGGTTATCCAGACATGCCTCCATCATCTTTCAACCTTTCTCCGCGCGATATGTGATCTGAGGTGTCTCCTTCCCAAGTGGAGTAGGTGCCCAGGCTACTCAAACTATACCAGAGAACACCACCAGGAGGCGGACCACAACACCTTCCATCGTTTGCTTGTTTTTATAGTGTCAACTGCACTCTCGCAAGCGAAGTCTTGGCGCGCACAAAGCCCAATTCGAAAAACTCCTTGCCAAAATTCGGAATTTCACGCCCTTCGAGGTTTTATCCTTCCTTCGTATCATCATGTCGACTTATCCTGATTCCTCTCAAGTCCATCTCAAATAACTATCTCCCAGATTTGTGCGCCACGCTTTGCTTCCTCCGTCGGGTATAAATATCGGCGTGGGCGTGTATTTGGCGGTCAACTGAGGCCAGAGAAGGTCGAAGAGCGGTGTGGTCATCGGGATGAGGATGTACTTGGTCGTACTTGTAGACTTGATGAGACGAAGATAGGAGTCAAACTCGTTGGGAGCGAAACAACGACGTGGATAAGTAATTTGGATTTTTGCCTCGTGGGCCAACTTCTTTGATATTGCCAAATTTGACTGAACTTGGCTCTGGGAGAATATTTCACTCCCAGGTTCGTAGAGGACACCGCGTACAGGTGTTCAGTCTTGCCCTCCTCTGACTACCGTTGTAGCGTTGGGTACCACATCATCTTTCCTCATTCCCAGCATGATTATCATCGTCATGGACGTCTTGTGTGTTATCGGAAGCGTATCTTTGACGGAGGGGAGATGACTCAGCTCAAAGTTGATAAGGTGTTACTCAATCTCGGCTCTGCAGACTTTACAGTGAGAGCTGGAGGTTCGTAGGGGACACCACTGACAGGTGTTGAGAACAGTCTCCCTATGTGGGAAGTTCTTACCGTCGTCATAATAGCTTACACGACTTGCATGCTAACTAAGGCTACAGATATGGTCAACTCAACCATGACATGTCTTATATATGCACGGACATTCACGCACGGTTATGTGTGACATGGTTCACGATAAACAGTTTGTGGCATATCGTAGCTCTACATCGTATAGAACTGAGAATTTTTCCGACTTAATTTTTGTCTGAATTAAGTAATTATCTCATTAAAATGGAAAGTGGCTATTTAGGTCATGATTTAAGGGCTTGCGATAGATCAAGTTCGATCAGTCGATATTCGATTCTTGATTTGTACCAGAATATTTTCACATTCATGTTTGAAAGTGTACGAGGCTGGTAATCTAGCCTCGCTCACTTTCGTCATGCCAAACCTATATTTCTACAATCATTTCGCTAGCGCAGTAATTACTGATCTCTGCAACCATTTTGAGACTACATTTCCAACTTAGAAAAATTTTATCCAGTGTCATCCGTACATAAATGATGTAACTTTGGAAACACATTGAATCCCTGCGTTTAACGGGTCACCCGAGAATAATTGGAAAAATAATTTTCTTCCTTTCATTTTACCAAATTGTACTTAATCTTTTAGTAAATATAGGTTAAAACATAAGCTTTGATAAGCAAGAAGAGGTTGGAAGTGGCTGATACCAGATATATCTGTAACATGAAAGATAGAGTAATGGCTTTATTCATTTCACTTGTAGAACCAAAAAGTTATGTGAAATAGAGCTAATTCATAAACTATTATTATGACAAGGTATCTATTGTTCTTCTGTGATCTTGTTAGTTCCGAATAAAGTATGCTTTATCCAAAGACTAGTTAGAGAGGAAACTATAGACTCGAAACTTATTTATTAACTATGATCAGGTCTGAACACAGCAAAACAATAGCTCTCACTAGAGCGGATCATATATTTATCATATCTGTTGTACGGATTTACAACAATTGAAATTAAATGTTAAAATCTAGGTGAATATACCTGGAATAGAAGGCTAATGGGGTAATTGGTGATAGATTGCCATCAGATCGCAGACATGACTGACGTCCAGTTATCGGCGGAAGATTAGTTTTATGAAGTTGATTTCTATTCAATTTTGTTCTGGTAGCGACTCGATCCTGGCAGCTCCCTTAAAGCCGTTGGTAAGTGCTTTGAAGTCCATTGACACGACATCTTCGGCTGCTCTGGCAATTAAATCCGCGTTATTATCGTTTGGCGTCAATTTACGACTGGTAATAGGCCAACTGACACCAATTTTGGTCCCAAGTTTATTACTACCAGGTATAGCTCGGTTGTCACTTTTTCAAAATTAGAGTTTGAGGGTATATCAAAGGTTGAGTAACTTACGAGTTTCTCGGAACTAATGCTTGTTCATCGGTTGAGAAAGGCAGGGCCTGGATGCTCGAGAAGATCGAGATAATGGGAATAAGTGTTAAAATAAAACGCATAATGAAGAATTGATAAGAGATAGTAAAGACAGTTTCGACAGACTATGGTGATCAGAATGTCAGTTTGGTCGTGGTAAGGACTTGTTGAGAGCTCGACTTGCTGTGAGAATTGCTAGAGCGGATAAGGACTTTTCACAAGTTATATAATATTCACAAGAAGGTCAAGAATGAGATGAGTGTCTCAATTGCGATTCATTGTCGTCGACTGGTTTCAGGACGGTGATTGAAATTACGGCTGATTCAGTCGAGTCGTCTGGCGCGATAGGAGCTCCAGGCCAGGGATTGATTGGCTGTCCAACCCTTGCTAATATACTAACCGTTATTGTTGACGGGTGAGTATGTACCGAGTTAGCGGGCTGAATTGGGCCATATATTTATGCAACTCACATTTTCACACGCAGAGGTCTGTGCAAACGCTCAACATATTTCGCATATCTGTGATGGCAATAAACATTTGCAGCCGGAAACATACACAAGCATGTCCATTTGGACGACTTATCAATATCTTTCTTATCGAACTCACGCAAGGCTACCTATTCAGTCTTACCACTAATCACCTCGCCTCAATGACCGATTAAAGGGTTGCTCTAATTACAAGCGGGAGCTTGCCTCACCTTTCATCGACTAACTCCCGTTAACAAATCACGATGCTACGTATACCTGCAAGGACTAGACTGAGTCATAATGTACCAAACTTTGGTCTTGGCTTGTGAGAGACCGCTATTCTAGAGGGGCTTCACATTATGAGGGAGGACAAGCTGCTGGGAATACTGGGACTGACTTTGGAGAGTTTGTGGGCGCCAAGGCCAAGGCACCGGGTGGGACTATTGACAACTGAAGAACATGATGCGCCACGCTCGCTTCGGTGGCCGCAGGTGTAATAAAATGACCATGTTCAATACAGTATCCATTGACCCAAGTCTAGGTTATGACGTAGAAATAGACCTCTATTTGGTGACATCGGGGTATCTAGGCGAGGCGCAGGACGTCGAAACTAGAAATTGCGTTTTGTCGCTGCTCACTAGTTTCTATCTAATTGGTCATCTCAGTAATATTAAATCTTAAGGAGCAAGTATCAGCGTCATATCAAAATAGATGCAGAGCTTGTGCGTGGTACGTCAAATAACGATTAATCAAACAATTGGCATGCGATGAGACCGAACTAGGCGTGTCGCAGAAATGCTCTTAGCGATTTATACCGGACCTGTAACTACACCAGACTGAGGGCTCTAACTCATGGATTTATTAATTTAAAAAATGGCATGGGCAGATCCAAATTGAATCAGATACTTGTTAACGATTAGCCAAGTGAACCTCGCCACACCTTCATGACTAGGCTAGTCCGATCATATTCTCTCTCCAAAGTTATTAGCCACTGACTTGGAATCGATAGTACTGTGAACTATCTTGGATTTTTCTGTGATAACGATATGCCTACTTAACAAGGTAGTGAAGGACTTTTACACCTCTACCTTTTGCAGACATCCAAGTCGGAGGAAGCGAAGAATTTACAGATGAAACTGGCATTGAACTACAGGATGGAAGCCGCAATAAAATCACGGCCAATTCGATAATTATAACCTTTATCATGTGGTCGGTAGGGAAATCCTACCACCCTTGTAACGGTACATGGATTGAGAGAGGCGGTAGATTCACAGCTACATGACTCTGTAGATTCCAACAAGTTTCCGTCAAAAATTTATCCTGAAACTAAGAAATAAATTCAGTTAACTTGAATCGCACAAACTGTTGGTGAATGATCTTGCTTTAACCTGGACTAGGTTTATGGCTAGGAGGCTCAACCGGTAGGTTTTTTAAACATTTTCTACTTACAAACTGTCTTGGCAATGTAGGTTCAGCCTTGTTACAGGTCAAGTAAACATATGGATCGAATGGTGTTTGTTCTCTTGTTCACCCTTACATCTCCCTCTGAAAGAAGACGAAGGCTAAACATTTGTCAGTGGTGCCCGCTACAAACATTGGAGTGAAATATTCCTCTAGTGCCAAATTCAGCCGAATTTTAAAATACAGAACAAGTAGGCCCATGAGTTAATTATTCAAGACTCCCCACCAAATCAAATTTACACACCCAAAAATATCAACATCGACCAACGCTTCATCAAGTTTGAGGGTAGGACCTAATACATCCTGATCTCTTTAATCACACCCTTAGTAACCCTAGTCTTGGCTTCATCTATCCTATAAATATACGCCCAAGATAACGTAATTATCTGCAGAAATAAATTGTAGCGGGAAATTTTGGGCAGAAAATTTATAGGATGGACACCCAAGATTCAAGGGTAGATGTGAAATATGATGCCCAGGATCAATTGAGTCTTGAAAGGGGCGAGTTGTCGATTTTTGGTAAGGTGAATTTTGCGTTCTACGACTTCGTTTGCGAGAGTGCGGACGACATTTTAGGCAAAGTCTTGATTGGATCGTTATCTAGGTTGGTCTTCCACGTAGGTTTAGGGAAGCTCGGAATAATAACTTCTCTCTCTTGTTATCGATTCTTATAGACATACCATATGACGTTAACTCATAGTGATACCCAGGACTGCTACGACAACAGTGACTGATGGTGTTGATTGCAGTGTGGAGAGTGGTGATATTGGACAGGGATGGGACATGTATATTTATATTGCGTACTTGTCTCCCCCTAGATGAAATGAAGCTGCAAACTACAATGACAATTTTCTCACCTACACTGCGCGGCTCAAACCGATTTACAATGGCCTGGTATCATGATTAATTTCTTCCCATTTCAGCTTTGTCTGGCAAGGTAAATATTCTGCGTCTTGTTGAACACCGGGCTCGGAGATTAGGACAGAATATTTCTAGTTTGGGTCTTTCAAGACACAATCACGGTCCCCGCAATGTTTTTGTACGTGAATAGCCAAAGTCTTTGAAACTTATGCTTGGTACTCACAGGCAAGGCTCGACTGATCTGCGTAAGCAAACATACCTCATAGTGGTGATTACAAGTGAAGTCCAGAGTATGAGTGTCTCTAGAGTCAAAGGAGTAATCCAACAGGTAAACAAAGCCCTGGACATGCGTTGTAGGCGTACAGCAAAATCCACATTAGATGTATTAAATTTTTTTAAAGCGCCACTTCTCGCAAGTCTTTGTCCAGTCATGGAATCGGAGACGCCGTCTGCCCTCCATTACTCCATCTTTAACCAGCGAACGAAAGGCCGTTTGCAGGCATATGGTCGGCGGAACAACTTACAAAAACCACTGCTGCCGGGCTCTTCATTCACTGAGATGGGTAGATGCAAAGCCATGGCTATGTATGTCAAAGGATCCGGGAAGCCAGCAAGGTGGTAGCTGCAAACTCGAGTGTATCAAGCTTCATTCACTGATTTACCCGGATCCTCTCTACTGCCATCTCCACGCGCGATGGGAGAAGATCTGGGTGCCACGCTGAAATGCCAGAAAGTCTCGACAGGGAGGGTGTTGTAGACTCACCGATAGCTGGAGGTTTGCAGGCTACACGACTGGCAGCTTATGGGTCTCGTCACCCGCCGGACCCTCTGATGCGCTCGGAAGCACCCGCACAAACAGCCCTCCGTGTTGCCCGCGAGCGAAATCACCAGTGCCTCTTGTCAAGAGTCGTCGAATATGCGCTGTAACTCTACGGCTGGACGCAAATCAAACGAATTAAAGATGGCCGTGGGCTGGTGAAAAGGTGTTGCCTTGCAGGAATAATTGGGGAGCATATGGCGAAAGACCCTGATGGGCAATCACATGAGGTCCTCCACAAGAAACAGGCCCTGGGTGAGAGGTGCAGATATCGGGACCGGACGGGGCCAAGGGATCAGGCACGACGTGGGCAACGATCAAGATTCTACTCTTCGCCACTTTCAACCTTGATAGGGTGAGTGATGGACTTGGGATGATTCGGCACATGGATGAAGTCTGCGGTGGCCCGATCGTTTGGGTGGTACGAGGCTCGCGTGCCTCATGCTGGTCAATCAGCTCCACTTCGGCCCCGCTACTATAAAACTCCGAAGGTACGCGGGGAGTCCTAATTGTCTAGGGCTTACGATTACGTAATACACAACAAACGGCATAGCGGTCATTCAAGTCTGCTAAAAGTACTGCGTCTACGAACTTTATACTTACAAATATAGTCTTTTCCTCGTTCATGTGATCAAAGTTAACGTATGATTGGATTCTCTGCAAGTACCTGCACATATTTTATTAAAGCGTAAACGGCTCACTGATCGTAATACTACCAAGGCTATTCTTTTTGCCGGTCTGGTTTAATTCCGCCCAGGTATTGTTTCTCTTCTTCTAGCCACTTCAACTTTTCCATTCGCTTTCGCGCTAGAAATGCTCTGGTGAACTTCCATGCTTCCACATCTGCCAAGTTCCATGCTTCAATTGCTCCACGGATGCGCAACTGCTCCTCATTCTTCGTTCCAAAGCTCCACTCTCTTGCCTTTTCGAGGAGCTCCCTCTCAAGCCGCAGATCATCCTCGCTTGCTTCAGGGCCATCGGCTGGATCATGCTCTTTTTTTGGTCGTCGTTCCGGGCCTGGAACTGGGGTCTCCGATCTTGCGTCTGAAAGTTGATCCGATGGTACCTTGAAGCCAAAATGCCATTCTAGATCTTGGGGGAAAGAGTTTTCTGCTGTGACCCATAGTGATCGCGCAGCGCCGTATTCAGAGGCTACAGCCTCTTTAAATTTCATGACTCGTGACGGCCCGCTAACTCCTGTTCCAAGAAGATCTTTTGTAACAGCCAAGATCCAGGGATCACGCTCAGAGAATCGCCGGATCCAAGCAACGTCGATTTCACGACCAGAAGATGCGAGAAGTGCGTTCGTATGCGGATGAGGTACAATACCAAGAGTATAGAGAGAACTACTATTTAAGAAGACGGATGGTGTCGATATTTTCAATGGCTGTGAGGCAACACATGGCTTGCAACGCAAAAAATTTGGGGGACAGGACGAAGGTAGCGGCGATTTTGGACATGTAGCCAAGGACCTAGCCACTGTGAGCGCAGGCTCGATTAGAGCTGTCATGTGTTTGGGCAGCGGTTTTGTCACTGCGATGCCCTGATGAAATATGTTTTGCCATGTTATATGAAGGTGAGAAGCCATTAACTCATTTAACATCATCAATCCCTTCTCTCCTTGTCCATTAACGTCATTTGCGATTTTGGGATATTTTTCTGATATCGTCTTTTTATCGTAGTATGCTAGTACTTCATGCTTGGGCTCAATCAGGAATGTGTCAGGCGATACAGCATGAATAAAATCTTGAGAATTTAAAAGTTCCCTGTTGGCCAAAATTTGTTTCAATGCATTAGTTATGTCTGACTTTGAGCCGGCAAAAATTCCAGAACCTAGGTTCTCAAACCTGGTTAATTTGGCGTATTCTCCGCGACGAAGGTGCGTAAATAGAGTATCGTCGTATCTACCCATTGGAAGAAGTAAGTAATCACACATTATTCCGGTTCCCATGGTTTCCCAAGCCAGCCACCTAGAAAGGTCAAATCTAAGTGTAGCTTCAACCTCTTTAAGGTGAAATTCTTCTGCTCGAGGGTTACTTGTCGTTTCAGCTGAGCCCAAAATTATTGGGTTAAAGCCTTGTGCCCACCAAGCTCTACGCCACGTGAGCAATAGCTCCTGTTCGATGTATTTTGAAACTTCAACGTCTTGTTGCTCCGAACTGTCGTAGTATGTGTATATTGGCGGTCTGTTCGGCAAGGGTGGGAGCAAGGATCGATTTTCATCGAGCGTCACGGAGGATGAGAATGGACTAAGCCAATTCAAGTTGCTGTACCATGATGCATCTCCACTTGTGCTGTTTTTTTGAAACGGAGGTGGATGAGCAGACTGTCGAAAGGGATTCAGCATGTTCGGGGTCGAGATCTTGGGAAGTTTTGGCAGGGGCATTTGGTGATTATTGAATTCCATAGATGATGTAGGGCTACGGAGGTAAGAGACCAGTGTGAAAAAAATAAAAATGATAATTGCAGAGTAAATTATCGTACGTGAGGGAGGCATCTTGGGAAAAGATTTTCCCGTGATGCCTCTCTGTATCGACATTGCGAAAAAGTGAGTTCTTTGGCGGTTCTCAACTGCCTTCACAGCCTGTAGAGTTCTAGCCAGGAGTATGCATTGAAATATGTGAGGCCTTTCTGTTGCTAAAGTAGACGATAGCTCTGGGTTGAAAGAGCAGAAGGTTAGAATCTACTGTGATAATGACGAATATAGGAGAGTTTGAAGTAGCTTGAAATGATTGCTGAAATAGTTGTGTCGGCCAAGGTCCTGGCGTCGCTATTGTGAATCACACCAAGTGGTGGTGGTGGCCAAGACGATGGGCAGCTGTAGAATAGTATGGAGAAATTTGATAATTCGTGTACGCGACGATCCTCGACGAGGCTCCCCGGCTCAGATCCATTTAGCCCCTGTCGAGCATTAATTTTTGTCATGGCGACAAGGATATGAATTGTAACTCTAGGGCCGAATACTCATCGCGTGGGAGGGCAAGACACAACGCCTGTACGCGGTGTCCACTACGAACTTGAAAACGAAATATTCTCCCAGAGCCAAGTTCAGTCAAATTTTGCGATATCAAAGAAGTTGGCCCACGAGGCAATGATTCAAATTATCATTCCAAAAAAGATCGAATCCTACCTAAGCCTCATCAAGTCTACAAGTACGACCAACTACATCCTCATTCCAATGACCACACCTCTCGCCGACTTTCTCTGGCCTCAGCCGGTCACCAAATACACGCCCACGCCGATATTTATGCCCGACGGAGGAAGCAAAGCGTGGCGCACAAATCTGGGAGACCGTTCTTTGGGATTGGCATGAGAGAATTAAGGACAAGTTGATAAGATGATGCAGAGGATTGGATACAGTCTCGACGGGCGTGGAATTAGGAGTTTTGGAAAGGAGTTTTTACAAATTGAGCTTTGTGCGTGCCATGACATCGGTTGCGAGAGTGCAGGCGACACTATAAACACCGCCATGGTTGGATGGTGCGGTGGTACATCGTCTTGGCCGGTCTGCCAAGTAAGGTTTGGATAGCATGGACACATATCCCATTCGAGACAGCAGATCGCTGGTTCGAATCCGGCAGAACAGGTCCACTTTTCTCGCTGCGCCGGTAAGCATAGATAATCAAAGGTTTTTAAATTCCCTCTGGTGGGTACTAACGGAGGAGGGTCGACTGTTTGTGTAAGCGAACATACCTCATAGTGGTATTTGCAAATGAAATCCAGAGTACGAGTGTCACTAACATCATAAGAGTCATCACACATGTATACATAGCACCGGTCATATGTTATAGCTCTATAGCTGATTACACATTAAATGATTTTTAAAAAAAATAGGCATGAAATATATATTTACATGCAAATTTTATCCTTAATCATTATAAAGTGGGAAAAAACTGATTCTTCACCTTCTATGGATGTCGGAATTAATATCCAAAATGCTCTCCAAATCTAGGGTAGCCAAGGAGAATCATATTTGGATCCAAATTTAAGTTGAGGTCTGCATAAAAGTTTCACAATCAAAGAATTATTCCTATCACGGTCTACCACCAACAAGACCTGACTCCGAATCTACCAAGTCTCTATGTACTTGAGCTTTCCGAGCAATAGTTCTCAAGCACTGAATCTCCCAAAGTAACCAAGATTCATTGCGACCACATCTCGGGCCAAGACTCACTATGTTGTAGATATCAAGAAAGCAGGAGCCAAGTAGTGGAGAACAGGGAAAGGGAAATATTTGGTCGGAATGATTTGGGGATTAAAAGTTTCGGCGGAGCTAGAGGACGGTGGGAAATTCCTAATGGAAAATTGGCGATAGGGACAGGATGTCTGAGACGAGTCAAGATTGGATGAATATTAATAATTCTTTAAACATTTGCGTGCGCCGAGTACTCGATCAGGCAAATGGTACAGATGACACTACGAAAACGAGTTAACGATGAAAGACACCTTGGTACGCCTCTTTGTTGTTTTTAATCACTTGATGCGAATTCAGCCACCTAGCTACTGCACTTGACCGGTGTCGTTTATACGCACAAAATGACACTTTTCGATGCCAGAGACACTCGTACTTTGGATTTCATTGGTAAGTACCAGTGTGATGTGTGTTTGCTTACACAAATAGTGGAATCTCCTCCACGAGTACCCGTCACAGGGAAGTTTGGAAACCTTTGGTTATCTAGGCATTCCTTCGTTACTCCAATATACTAGCACCGTGAGAAATTTGGTTATGATTTTCCAGATTCGAACCAGCCATCTCCTGTCTCAAATGAAATATGTGGCCAAGCCACTGTGCGTCCTCATATGAGAGTTTCGAAGCGGCTTACGATAAATTATGAGCTCAAAGCACCTCTATAATCTTTGACTAGAGAATGCCTGATAAGTTCCTTAAGTCTTGTGGTCGTTGTTGGTTCGTTGGTATCTTCCCAAATTCTCACACAATTACAAAACAATAATTAAAACACCACGTCCATAACAACTTTTGAATGCTAGGCTAGGCTCCTTCACGGGAGTCACTCTCGACCGAGACTTTTCTGATATCCTTTCACGACCTTCGGTTTGTCCTGCGGCATAAATCAGGGGAGGAGTAAGGAGGAGGCTAGGAAGACTGAGAGACGCTCTTGAGTACTTAATTCATTTCATTGTTCTGTCTGAGTCTGTGACTTTGCAGGAAATGTAGGTCCTCTCTGCCTACAAACCAAGGAAGCCTATGCCAGTAGTATATCCCCTCCTATGCCTCCCATACAGCTCCCCTCAAACAGTACCGTCCCTCTCGTTCCACATCTCAGCTGCCTGTCCGTTCTCAAGATGTATAACCCCATTAGAGCATCAGTCCCTCATGAACCAAGACTCAAACTTTGTATATTATGACTTGATTTCCTCCTTGCAGATATAAATAGCGTCGTAAATTCGCAGTGAGTGATGGCCAGTAATCAATGAGGCAAGCTCCTGTTTGCAATTGGGGTGACGCCTTTATCGGTCGTTAAGGCGAGATGATGTGTGGTTAGAAAGAGGTTGAGGTCTCAGAATATAATGGTGAGTGTTGCATGATTGAGAAGTCGTGAAATGGAGATATGGATGTGTTTGCGTTCTACTTCGATTCGGATGCAATTCTTCTTGACTATCCCAGATATGCAGAGCATGCTGAGCGTTCTCACCGGCACCACTGGAAGGTGAAGAATTTGTCTTTGCGGGTTATAGGACTGCTTAGTAATCGGAACTGCACTGACTAAAGTTGAATTCTTATTCTTAATTTTTTTTAAATCATTTAATGTGTATTCAGCTATCTAGCTGTGACACAAGACCGGTGCTATGTGTACGTGCGGGATGACTCTTTTGAAGTTAGAGACACTCATACTCTGTATTTCATTTGCAGATCCCACTATGAAGTATCCTCGCTTACACGAACAGTCGACCCTCCTCCGTAAGTATCCACCAAAGGGAATTTCAAGATCTTTGATCATCCAAGCAAGCCTTCGTCATCCATGCATACTAGCGCCGCGAGAAAAGTGGTTGTGTTTTGCTGGATTTGAACCAGCGATCTACTGTCTCGAGTGGGATATGTGGCCAAACTATCCAGACCCTTCTTCCAACGATTCTATGCGAAGATAATTCTGTTTGACACTTGTCCCACTCACATAGTGGATTCACTCGCTGATACCAACTTTGAGCTTTGTGCTATGGACTTTCACCCTTCCCTCCACCGTTAATATCCACCAGATGAAAAGAGTAAAAACCTTTGCTTCCCCTAACTTGCTTCCTGGAGGAGGTCAAGAGACGAACAACATAAAGGATCATCTTAGCGCCTAGTCATGTGACACAAAAATCTCTAACAGGCGTCAGGAAGACGTATCTATTGGAAACATACACATCATCTTCACCACCACTGGATCGTGCCATGACTACAAACTCTAAAGCACTGATAATAGGCCTTAGCGGGGCGTCGTCTAGCGGAAAGACTAGTTTAAGTCATCTACTGCGCAAAATTCTGCCTAACGTTGATGTTCTTCACGAAGACGACTTCTTCAAGCATGAAGAGGAGTGAGTGCCGGCCACCCCGTCTTGACTCTGCCTTAATCGTGCCTTGTGACTTCTCCGGGTCTCGCAGCCGCGGTGAATTGGTGCCCGGGCTCAAGGACCACCGATTTCGAATAAGATTGTGTGCATCGAGGCTTGGCGGGTCCTTGAGAATACGGCACGTGATGTATCGAAATTAGCATCGACTCATTGGACTTGTGCGACGCATCCTCAAAACTCGGGCTGATATGTGATAGGATTCCTGTCAAAGATAATCTCCAAGATTGGGACTGCGCCGAGGCAATTGACTTGCCAGCCCTGGTAAATGTCCTCCAGGAGATCCGACACACTGGAGAACTTCCAGTAAATACCATCTCCCACACTTCATGGCATTATCCTGTAAAACTCACTATTGTCTAGCCAAATCTTGAGTCAAAAGAGAGCCAAAGTCTGACGATTGATATCGATAAAGTTTCGGAGAGTACTATATCCCGTATCAAAGACCGAGTTGCCGCGTGGATTGCACCTGGCCAGCCTGGCCACTTACTCCAAACTCGAAAGATATTCATTATTGAGGGGTTTCTCCTATACTCTTATTCGACGTCGGTGATTTGGCCCTATCTAGATCTCAAGATGTTTCTACAGGTCTCATACGCCGCCGCCAAGGCCCGCCGTCAAACCCGCTCTGGCTATATCACACATACTAGCATTTGGCAAGATCCACCACATTACGTAGACCAGGTCGTATGGCCCAACTATCGACATAATCATGAATGGATGTTTGAAGATTGTGATGTCGAGGGAAATGTCAAGGAAGGGGCGCGTTTAATAAGTGGCATACGATGTTCGGGCATGGCTGATATGGACATGGAATCAACGTTAACCTGGGCCGTGGAGCTTCTGATGGAAGAACTCCCCAGTTTGTTGGACGATGAGTACCGAAAGAATGAGTAGAAAGTACTATCTGATCCTCAGAGGTCTAGGCTACAACCATCATTCTCTCTATCGTGACGGGACTTATTGATTGACTTGATCCTCACAATCTCCGACATTAAACTAGTGTCTGTTCTCTTTATCTTGTTTCCAGCGTAGATGCTCCTCTGTCACGGTAAAAGGCCACATGAATTATTGATGGTGGGCTTTGATCAACAATATGAAAATTGTAGCAACCAGTCGCAACAAAAATTACGCTTTCGCACAGCAGAGGCTGTGAATTTGCTCCTAAATACATGACTTTAAATGATTCTGCGATAAAATTTTAGGATGTAGTGCTAATAGCTTGTCTAGATGGTCCATGTTAGTCTGTATATGATTGGTTTGATATTTGTTGTCTTACTTGAGGCAATAAATATCTAGCGCAATGGGCTCATCTTACCCAGGCCATACATCCTACAGGGTTCCTATACTCTTTTGCTATGAAAAAAAGAGTCTTGAAACTTTGAAAGTAGCTGAAGCATCTATACTTTCTCAGATATTGTAATTTCAAAGAATGTATAATCGAGAATATATCAATACTTTGGAGAGCGCTACTACTTCAAATGTGTGTTTGTTTATTGTGCTACTTGAGTCTATGACTATCTAGCTCATTGGGCTCCTCTCTGACCTAGATTGCGCCTTGCGGTGCTCTTTGCCTCTTGTGCTACTTGAAAAATCAGTGGTATATTGCCCGTGATGAATAGCCATTCAGGTCAGTATTTACCCGTGGGATTCAGCCACCTTTTCCACGGAACCTTCTACGCCCAAAAAAATAAAAAACAAAAAAAACGGTAGCAATGGAAACTACGCGCGCGGGAAAAAGTCTCAAAAAACCTGCAGCGCCAGTCGGGCGAGGCCTAGACACCTTTTATTGTAGCTAAATAGCTGAATACATCATGAATTAAAAAAAAGTCCGTCGCTTGAAAGAGATACACACCCAACAGATTATCTGAATTATCAAAAATTGGGTATAATTACATATAACTTAGCCGCAGTGTTTCTTTTGGAGTAACTATGCAAATTTTATCATTGCGTCACAGCACGTGCCACTTAATTGTTTTTTTTGCATCAGATTTTAGTTGCGTATGCAGCTATCTAGCTATGACACAATATCAAAGAGAAGTGTATGATAGATGACTCAATTTACAAGAGGAGCACTCATGCCTCGGATTTCATTTGCAGGTACCACTGCGAAGTTATGGTGATTTTCTCTACACCCCAAGTCAACCCTCATCCGTAATTACCCACTTAAGGGAACGCCTCAAAAACCCTGAGTTACTCAGACATGCCTTCGTCGTCTATTGAATTTTCTCCGCGCAAAGTTTGATCTGAAACGTCCCCTTCCCAGCCAGTTTAAGTGCTCAGACTACTCAAACAATACCGTAGATTGCCAGCGGGAAGAGAACTGCGGCATCTACCTTCTTTGACTTATGTTTTCAGTGTCGGCTGCACTCTCGTAAGCGAAGTCTTGGCGTGAATAATGTATTTCAAGTTGAAGAGATCCTGGCCATCATCCAGACTCCCATTCCTGACGAGGTCGTAACTATCGTTTGTATTGTCTTGTAAACTAATCCAGATTTCTCTCACCTTTATTACAAATAATTGTTTCGCAGTTTTATGCACAATGGCTCAGATCCTCCTGTAGGTAATCATATTGTATCCTTTTCTCGTCACTTGTTGTGTATTCAGCAATCTAGCTATGATACATTAATAGTACTGTTTAAATGTTGGATGACTCTTTATGTTAGAGACACCTATCCCTTGGACTCATTCGAAAATACCACTGTGAGATATCCTAGCTCATACAGCCAACTCTCCTCTCACTCAAGATCAACTGGCCTAAAAATGTGATATTTCTATTGAAAACTTTAAAAAAAATTAAGGGGTGATTAGTTGCGTTCTTAAAAAGTCTTTTATAGTTTAGGAGTTAGCAGAGACTTAGATTTAAATCAATCAATCAATTGAATCTCCTCCGTGAGTATCCACCAAAGGATAGTTCCAAATCTTTTCATTATCCATGTACACCTGTATTGGTTTGATTTGATTTGAAATATTTAACATGACAGGACGGACCCTACATCTATTTAGACGTGACACGGGTAGATAATCTCTGAGAACTCATTGCTACCTACATGACCTGCAATAAAGCCAGAAGCGACAAGGGAAATTAAAAAGAAAGGAATAATAAATGTCTGAAATAAAGTGCCCTGCGCCGCATCCCTATCCTCCAAGCACATCTCATCTCGAGTTGGAATCTGTCTCAGCGTGGTCATCTCCCACCCAGTTCTTTCTTCTGCAGACTGTAGTACACCTGTATTGGAATCTCTGACTCTCGAATTTAAGACTCACATGTTATCTGATTCGACCGAGGTTCCCGACATGATCGACTCTCTCTACACATGTTCCGAGTGCGCCAATCGCACCTACTGTTGCATTTATGTTTGGATATTTACGTACTACAGTATATCTTGATTCATCATGGTAGATGAGAGGTTGCTGGTCATCAAGAAGTTTGACGGATAGATAAGACTAGTACAGGTTTCTCCGATAGATATTTACATTAGTCCAGTATTCCAACAGTTGTAAAATATTAAGTCTCAGTTACTTCTTCATTACTTCTTCATTACATATCCGTACAATATCTTACAGAATATATTTTCCAACAACCTGCACCGCGAGAAATATGATCATGCTGGCCGGATTCAAACTAGCCATCTCCTGTATGAACTTGGAGATGAGTCAAAGCTATCCTGGACTTACTTGAGAGATCGACCGAGATGAGATACCACAGCACCCCCCAAACATGTCAATATCTATAGTACCGCCTGTACTCTCACTTAGATGAGGTCCCGTAGCGCAGACTTGTAATTTGTAAAATTTCCATTCTAAATTTGGCAATATCATTCGGATCTTTTTCGATCACAACAATAGTCCCCCAAGATTTGTACGTTGCGATTTGTTTCCTCTGCCGGGTACTCTTATTCTTGTGAGCGTGCTTGTAGAGACCACTGAGGTCAGAGATTTATTTGGCGAGTGGATTGGTTATTAAAACATGGATACTCTAAGTCGTACTTAAAGAGTTGACAAGGTTTTTGTTGGTGGCACGCTCATTGGGATTGAGAAAATGAGTTGCTTTGTTCATGACTCATTGCCACGTGAGACACCTTTTTTTGACCCGGAAAATTCGACTGAATTTAGATCTTGGAGAACATTCCCCTATGAGTATTTCAGAGGTTATCGCGGCTAGTTGTACAGTCTTTGCTCACTCACAACCCGAGCTTGATTTCGGACTCGACCTTTATCAAGTAAGTATTTGTGAATTAGAAAGTATACCACCACGTCACTCGGCCACGATTACGAAGGATGAATATTTATCCAATCACAGGATACAGCTTGAGACAGGCTAATACCCGGATTGGTGTCCAGCATACGGCACCACCGAGACGAGTTTGAATGGAAGTCTCAGAGTAATTCTCAAATTTCTCTGGCTGACGGTTACATGGTCAAGCTTGCAGTAATTTGATCTATTGGAAGTCATCACAGCCTTACAAAAGAGCTTGGTATTGTCTTGTGACGAGCTCAATCCAGTAAGATAAACGGAAATGTCATTATTAGTCTTGTAGATACCAAATCTAACGGATTCTATCGAGTTACATAAGCTGATTGAATAGACTAATAGTAATATTCTCAACCACCCGCCATTGAAAAGAGTTGAATCCAAAACCTCGATTTTACAATGAAGGACGAAGGCTCGGAGGACGATAAAGACGCCATCTCAAAGCCGGTACCACAAGTAGAAAAAGCTCCAGAGCAGAAAAAAGAGCTAGGGGAAAACAATTCGCAATCAACAAATCTGACAGCAGTTGAGAATGCAGAAAAGTTCCTTCATGACGATCACGTTAAAAATGTCGAGACACCAAAGAAAGTTGCATTCCTTAAACAAAAGGGTCTGTCTATGGAAGAGATAAAAAAGCTAATGGCGAGCTCATCCAAAGAAGCGTTCGCCAGTAGTACGGTTAATAAGGTATGTTCCTCACCTCCGAACTTGAATCATTTAATTTAGTTCATGTAGCCAGCCCCTCTAGAGATTAGTTCTACTAGCAAAAGCACAATTCCAGCGCAAGAACCCACAGAATCACCATCCAAACATCCTATCATAACCTACCCTGAGTTCCTTGTGAGTCAGTCGACCGGGAAAAGGCCTCTCATTACCACATCGAACATTTTAACCATAATTTATGCTTTTTCTTTCATTTCGACATCCTGTTATGGTATTTTTCATTACATATATACACCGATGAGAAACAAACAAAGCGAATCTCGTCATGATCTATTTAACACAACTATCCTCAAGCTAGGAGATCTCTGTAAGCGGCTCGAGAGAATGGTCTCTGTGATTCCGCAATTTAATTCGAATATACGCTTGAACAAAAATGATGAAAATCTGGATAATTCAAACATCGAAGATCCAACAGAACTTTTCCATCGAGATATAGGGATTCAAACCTCTTATCCTTCTCCTGTGAGCAAAGAGTCTCAAGCTCAGGATACCAGTATTCATCAGATATCCCTCCCAAATCAAATGAACAAGCTTGCTTCACTCCACAATCATATTAAAGATTTAATAGATGCATCAACTGATGAATCAAATAACTGCCTTCAGCTGGAAGGAAAATTTGGCGAGCTTCGTAGCTATCTCAATACACTTGCATATCAGTCATCGGGTAATGGTTATGGCAGCATATATGACTTGAGTAGTGTTATGGGAGGTTATCTCGAAAATGGTATGGGTACTAACACAAATCCAGATATGGATGAAGTGGCGAAGATCAGAAAAGAGATCAAGGGAATGAAAGGCCTACTCCTTAGCACTAAAACATTCCCAGTCCGTGTTAATGCCATTGGGACTACAGCTAGTTGAATTTCAAGTCGTTAAATCTATGCTTGCCAGGCTGTTTAAGTTTTACCAACCCATTGATTATATCTAGCACGACACAAGCGAAAGCCAAAACTTTTCAGATCATCGAAAGTAAAAATTATCTGTGATATGAGAGGAGACAAGTAAATTGGAGTGAATCTAACAGTACAAGTGTATAGATTTGTTTAATAGCAATTACAGTCATTCACGTATCATTTTTATCAACCAAATGGAAAACCCGGAGACCATATCACTGCATCAACATTCCTACATCTTAATTTCTTTCAAATAGCCATATATTTGCGATCGGTCCTTGCTGGATTGGAATCAGCGATAGCCTGACTCAGGAGTAGGTGGTCAGCCCATCCAAAATCTACAAAAGATAAAAGCTCAGAAAGCATGTTGTAGTTTCAACCTTGCCGCAAAAAGAGCATACTGCTAAATAACACCTGTAACTTTGTTTCCCAAAGTCCTCGGTTACCAATTTACTTAATATAAAAAAGCATACAGGCAAGCTCAGTCCCAAATGAGATACCTGAAATACTCTGAAGTAACTGATAGTTAAAAAAGAACTCAGTATCCTTTCAACCACTCTCCAAGAAGCACTACACGCCAAAATAAACTTTTTTAGTGGGCCATACATCAGATGCTCTTTTATCTCAGGGATTCTACATAGATCAACAATGTTCTCCCGAAAAAAGTGACACTAGCGCATAGAATTTGCTCTGCTCAGGTAAGGAATAGTTTGGCTACTCTTTCGATCAAGTTTGTTGTTAATCCAGCAAAATTTTTATTCATAAATATTATTTACACTACCTTGACTATCAATATTTACTGGAGGACTATTCTTAACACCTGTCAATAGTATCCCCTACGAACCTCCAGCTTTCAATGCAGGGTAACAAAGTCCTCACTTTGATGCGGATTTCCAATCGCTTCCGCCGTCTGTATCGTCTTCATCTCTCAAAATATTCCCCTACCACCATTATCATGAATCTTACCACGACCAGATCAGATGGTAGTGTCGGAGCCCTAATAGTCACCAACCCTTAATTATGGAGAAGACATCTGACGAGTTCCCAGAGCGTACCCAGCACCTGATACAGAGATGGCTGACTGGATCAAGTCGACCTCGACTGTTACAAAGAAGGGAGATATAGATGAATATGCGCACCTCATGTGGTCCCAGTGTCTAGGCCTCGCCTGGCTAGGGCTGCAGGTTTTTTGAGACATTTTCCCGCGCACGCAGTTTCCATTGCTACCATATTTGTGAGTAGAAGGTTCCATGGAAAAAGTGGCCGAGTTCCATGGGTAAATACTGAGCTGAATGGCTATTAATCACGTGCAATATATCAATAATCTTTGAAGGAACACAAGAGGCAAGGAGCAGTGTACGAAGTGTGGCCTGGGCCAAAGAGGAGCTCAATGTGCTAGTTGGTCTATGGCTTAAGTAGTACAATAAACATACCTTTCTCTCTCTTTCCTACCCCTCCTTGGCTATGCCTTTCCTCTTACGACAGCGCCTGTTTCATCCCATCGGCCGTTCTCAAATATTCCTTCGTGTTTAAAAAACTTAATTGTCAACTCCACTGTTCCAAATATTGGAGCTCAGTTTTCGCCTGCATCCCTCAGCCTTCCTCACCAGAAGTGACTTAAATTACCGTAGTGCGTTGCGTCTCTTCCTATCATAGCTTATGGTCTGAAGGTGTTGCACCATGGACAACGAGACAGCCCATGGTTGAGGTCTTCGACGGCCATCCCCAAATCGTGCAGGGATGTGTTTGCAATCTTTATCCTGTGCATGAATCCTGCCAGACAGCTCTTGCTCTCGGAAGGATACTCGCGTCTTTTTAGCTAAAATTATCGTACCAGGTCTATATATGGGGATCTGGGGGACCTGCGTTGATTTTTTGAGAAAATTTGCCGATATTTCAGTATAGAAGTTTCTGGGGCTGGCGGGCTATAGCTTTTGCTGAGTTCAATATCACAAATTTTTATCTATAACCTGGATCGAATGGTTAGCTTTTCATACAGTTATAGCTTTAGCTCTTTCCTTAGTTTCTACTAGAGCTGAAAAGCTCTCATCGAGTGGTAATCAGGTAACAGTAACAATATTATTATTTGTACGGAGTTGATAGGCAGCCCGGTAAATTCTGAGGATACTGCACTGGCCTGGCTGCCGACGAAGATTATTCAATGTCTGGAGAACATTCAGGTTCCTTGAGAGTAGGTTGACGTGACGGTTCGAGGTAAGTAGTGGCAGGGTTTGTTTTGTTTTGTTCATTTACGTGTTAGGTATAGTGATTCCCGTTGCACTCCTACTGGAGCTTCAGCACGGGTGAGGCCGGGCCGGATCAGGTTAACTACCGTAAAGTACTAGTGCCTCGTCTCACTTAAATGACCAGACCACTTCAGACTTCACCCATGTGTTGAATCATGTCAAGCCCAACCGTCCAGAGAACCCTCTTTTTTTTTACATTTGGTCCTAAGCTAACGCTATCTTTTCCACATTGGGTCAAGGACCGGTGGAGCCGGCTAGGATCACTGCGTACAGGCCCAACTCATTCCAACCGCATGAACTTCTACTGAAATTGTAGAAGTTAACAGCAAAACGAAAATCAAAAACATAAATCAAAAACTGAAATCAAATTTGGAAGAAATACTGTTTGGTCCGGATCCCGCGCTTCTCGCCCGTTCCCTTTCCTGCCACATCTTCCACGTGACTTTTTTATCTCCGCTGAGAGCGAAAGATTAGTTCGCAGATACCCTGAATTCAGCTGGTATCCTGCTATATATTTTGAAGCTTTTTTTAGACTTCACCGAGGGTTGCTATACCCTCAAACTTCTTCTTCGGATTCCAGGATTCCGAAACCCGATCTCTCGGCCATCGAGACATCCTTCGTTGAGGCCATCGTTGCCTCTTCGGCCCTTTTGGCTGCAGCCCTAAATCGAGCCACTTTCGCGAACTCACCTTGCTGGATCTGGCGGATCTGCGCGAGCTGCTCTTTTGTCACCGGTCCGGACTTGCTGGGTCTGGCTAAGCAGGCCCGGGAATCCGATCGGTGAGGCCCCCCACAGTTTCGACACCGGGTGAGGGCCTTGCACTCTGATTCTGAGTGCATATTAGATCCGCATTTCCAGCAAGCTGGAGCGCGGGAACAACCACGGGTGGCGTGAAATTCAAGACACCGTTTGCATTGTTCGATTTTGTGACGAGGTCGGAAGAGCTTTGCAGCTCCAGAGTCGTCGAAAAGGCGGAATCCAGATCGATGAGCGGATTCTCGGGGAAATAGCGCTTGCCAATTTGAGTAGGGCGCCCCTGGTTTGCTAGTCCCATGAGGACGAACCAGAAAGGGAACCAACTGGGTCACTCGCGTGACTTCGTCGGCAACCATCTTTGCCGTCACGGCAATTGGGCCAGCAAGAGTTCGAATTGTCTCCGGGACGGTGGCAATTTGCATGGCAACCAGATTTGATGCTGGTTCCAGTTTGATTCCAGATTCGCTCCGTGATGTTGAGGAATCTAGGAGCTCTGTTCGAGCGAGTTCATCCTTTGCGGTTAGTGCAAAGCCGGTCTTTACCCGCTGAACCAACGTGATATTGTTGGCAGCGGTTCCCAGCGCCTGAGACACCGCTAGCCTCACTCCAGCTGGAGAAAGGAGACGGTGGGGATGGAAATGGTCAAGGCGCAGAAAAAGTCGTGAATCGGCTTTTGACCTCGAGTTGGCACTTTTTGCTTTCTGGGCGGGCGGTGCTACCTTTTTTGTCGATGGCCCAGCGCTACTGACTAGGCCTGCCCGAGCTACGGTGGCCCAAGTTTTCTTTGGGGCCGGAGCCTGGGAGAGAACCCTCTTTTGGCGCGCCGAAGCGTAAATTCCTCCTCAGCCTCGGCCACCACGCGCCCGAGCCCTTGACATCTTCGCCACCTGTAACTTTTTCCCTCTATTCATTCCCAGCTTTGGCTTACATCAGCATCTCCTCACCTCATCCAGGGGTCATTTTCTTCATTGGAGGCCTCATCCAGTCGCCAACCAAGGCCTCCTCAGTTTGTATCTTCTTTAGTTCCTTCATACAGCATCCCTCTGTCCTTTAGCCGATCTCGTCATCCCAGAAACTTTGTAGAATGTCCACCCCTCTGGCCTTGCCCCGTTGCTGCCGTACCTCTAATCGTGGAGGTCAAAAATGTGACTTTGAGCTCAAGACCGAGGCACCGGTGCCCCAGCCTTTGTCGAACGCTCTAGTTGGTGTGCCGGCGAAATGTCGTACGTATTTCGTCGGTGGCGATTCGTCGTAGACCGAGTTGTTGGTGCCCTTGGTCGAGGTGAGGACGCATTTAAGGCCGGTATTTCGACCGTACCTTCACAGTGACTGGCAGTTGCGTAGGATCGGACATCTTCTTGCTTCTTAGTTGGCGATTTGGCTTTTGGAGGTATGAGATTGCTTAGGTAGATGGTAAGATGTTTCTTGAGAGGGCCGCGAGATGAGTTTGGCTGAGAATGAATTTCCAGAGAAATAGAAAATAAGATTTTGAAGTTGGTGGTTGTTGTACTACGAACATCAGACAGGTTATAGGCTGTCTACGGTTCGTATCTGGGGTGTATATGGTTGACTTCGTTGAGTTGTGCAGTCGTGAAATCTCTGCGGGTCGGATTTTCGACCAAAAATGAGCCAACACCACTCCTCCCGATCGCCAACTCGACGAAATCTCTCAAATTCACCCTTTTTCGTGACTGATCTCGGCTCTGGGAGAATATTTCACACCCAGGTTCGTAGAGGACACCACTGACAGGTGTTCAGCCTTCGTCCTCCTAAGTAGTGGCAGGTGTTCCAATGCTTGTATAATCTTGCAGGCGTGTCAGCCATATGAGCGACACGGCGAGATACACGAGCACGCTTGATTATGTATAAATACTTAACTAATTTGCAAATAGGCTAATTACTAATGCACGTTAGGTAGCTTTTTATAGTCCAAGCTTGCCAATTTAAGACTTTACGCTTGTATTTTGAGCTGGCATGGCGTTAAATGAAAAATAGTTAAATGACTAACTAGATGGCAAAGACTGATCACTTGTCCGCGGTATCCTCTACGATCCTCAGGGTGCAATAATCTCTTAGACCCAATATTCTACCATCACCCAACATTTGAATACATTTTTTCCTGTCCGACATTCTTGTCAAAGGGAGCGTTGCTGGGCTGATTTTGATGAAACTCCCGGATTCCAGAGATTCCACAACTACAAAAATCACTAAAACAACCAAGATCATTCACGAAGATAGTAATACAATCCCAACATCACTCTACCCCTCAAAACTTCAATCAGTTTTGAAGTCCTCATTCAACGCCGAAAAACGTCACAACACGAACCGCGTCCCTTTCTTCCAACACCGTTGTAAATGGGGAATTGCCAGAGGTCGCTAAGGTCTGACTGCTGAGTGTGAACATCTTATGAAGAAATCAAAGCCTGCGAATGAGCATGGGGGAAATGTCGGTTCATGGAAGCTTTGGAAGTGATTGGAGAAGATCATCCTAGGTTGGGAGGGTATCGCCTGGAAGGTGAACAGAGACAGCTAATCATTCAAAGTTCTAACTTTCTGCGACACTAATCAGTGGCTAGGTCGCACTTTTTAGTTTGCTGTACTCTTTTTGGCGCGCTGGCACGTCTTATAGTTTACATAGATTAAGCTAGCCGTCACTTGGCCCAGTAGTCTAATGATATGCTCCGGCAAGATGTAAAGTAATTAAAAATTCCGACTTTATTGTTTCTATGGTTCGTGCAGCTCACAAATTATTGTCGCAACATGGGTGCAAATATATTATGGTTAACTGTTGTAAGTTATCCTGGTCATTATAGCTAGTTTAAATCTTTTTGCCTGTATGATGTGAAACACTTCTAGAAACCAGTATTTTGGTTACAATCTTTACTTTGCGCCTGAATGACTCTTGTAGCTCCAGTGTAGACTTGGTGCCTTCAACAGACTAAGCATATCTTCTTCATTGTCCTCACGCTTAGCATCATTAATGATTCCCATCTCTCGAGCGATTTGAGCGTGCTTTACAGCTTGTGTTGTATCACCTATATTATTATACGCTATTGCGGCAAACATGTGACCCATGCCTGCTGCTGCGTGTACATTTTCTGCCTCATATAATGATAGAAGCTCTTCTGCCATAGCTAGCGGGCTATTAGGGCGGGTTGTTAGAGTTTGCTGTAGATATTGAATTCGCTGGACACGGCGATCAGATTCAGATTCATCCCCATTACAATGTGCACAGGTACAAGTGAAGCCCCAAATAGCCTGAAGGTGCTGTTGTCTTTCTGCTCGAGAAGTAAGCATATTTATGTCTAACCATTAAATTAGTAAAAATATCATTCGCTTCGAAGTAAGCGATGAAATACATGTAATAGTTATTTCTTCGCCTGGTTGAATAACGCGTGAGGCGACAGCAGCGTGGATAAGAGATGATGAATTATAATGGTACATCGCACTTTAATAACTCAGCCAACAGCTTCATAGTCTAAAAGACCGAAACTTACTTGGGACGGCAGTCATGATTCAAGAGCTGGAAGACGGTTAGTAGTTACTCTCTTAACTCCAGAAATCTTCTCCTACAGCTGTCTCGGGATAAATCAAGAAGTGTGGTTTTCCATCGAATTCTCCAGCGAATGAATTTACATTGATCCTCTCCATGACTAAGTCCCCGACAGGATTAGAGGCCATGCGAAGGAAAACCTTCTTTGTATCTTCGGGTAGATGATCAAATGTTTTTCGAAGATATTGGTACCCTAAAGGATAGTCAAGAAAGAAGGCGTTGCTCTGATAAATTCCAACTGGGGTACTTGTGATTATTTCCTCACCCCGTGAAATGACACGCGTAGCAAATAGCCCATTTCCTCGTGCAGGGGTATGCTTTATCTCCCAAGGTGCAGACTTGAAATTGTTACATTTCTCATATCTATCTGAGTCTGTTGATTCTAGCCTCTCCGCTATCTGATCAGCAATAGTGGGTGAAGTAAAAAGAGAAATTCCTCTTCCGCTTGCAAATGTTTTGCTAATATACACACAGTATTTCTCCTTTCCCTCTGTATCCGTTAGACACTCTGGTGTAAGTGACCATCGCTTCAATCTTTGCGGAGGCAAATTTGCGCTGGGTACCGGAGCCTGATGTTGATTGCTTCGAATGATCGCATATTCCTTTACTGCCTCGTTTAGGAGGCAAATTTCCTCCTCATAATGAAATATTATTCGTGCAGAGCCTCTGTCCAAAGAAAAATTTTTGGCGCTGTTAATTTGGCTTACAAGGAGCGAAATGCTCCACAAGAAGAGGCGCATACCGATGGATAACCTCAAGAAATTTGAGTAGTTTTTGATGATCAGATTAAACGGGAGCAGGCTATGGTGTGAGATTTCTGGGCATTGAAATTTTATTCCTCATTTCCAGTAGAATCTAGAGCTGCTGGAGTTCCATCAGGCTTCGCTTCATACCGTTGAATCATGAAACTCGAACGTGGCAAGTTTGTGCGCACTTTCTTTATGACGCACATCCTTCCCTAGAGTAGGGTCTATTGATACTTTTTACTCTCGCAATTTTGCTACACCACAAGCGATTCTGCTCTGCACTGGCTGCGAAGATTTAGCTTGTGAGGATACTGGCGGCTCAGATTTAGATGTGGATTTTCCTCCACAACTAAACTTTGGTTGCGGGCGATATATAAATTATGCGGCTTGATGTTTTACTTTGAGTGATGATTCGAGGTTGACGAGAGACCAGGTTAAGCACTTTGTTGTTCGTGACTAAAGAACGTCCGTGTGAAGTCTTAACATCCGGATAAGACATGAACTTGTACATGGTGCACAGTGCAAGCTCAGAAGTCTATGTCATGTTGCCTCGACCTTTTTTCATTCAATTAACTATTCAATTGTACGGAAAATTGCAAATCAATGTTTGTCAAAGGTAGAAGGCATTTTTCATCTGTAAGCCGCTTTCACTAATCGATGTTTTTTCTAATCAATGGGTTCTAAGCTAAAGCTATTTATAAAGTACGGGTGAAGGACCGGTGGAGCCGGCAGGGCTCCCTGTAATATTTCCTACGGCCTAACTCGTTCCAACCTCGTGAACCGCTGCCAAAGGTGCAGATGATTAAACAAAAACGAAAAAGCAAGAAAATCAAAACAACCCCGAAAACCAGAAGATTCCTCCATGCTGGACCCAAGCAATACGCTCCTCACACATTCCCTCGCCCGTCACACTTTCCAAATGACAAATTTACTCAATCTCCGCTGAGAGCAAGAGATGGGTTAGCAGGCACCTTTGATCGGGCCGGTATTCTGCTATTGGTTAGTAAATGCCCCGAAAGGGGACATCGTCGAGGTTGCTGTGTCCTCAAACTTCTTCTTCAGCTTCCAGAGCTCCGAAACCTGTAGCCTCGGCCATCGATACATCCTTCGCCGTGGCGATGATAGCCTTTTCGGCCCTTTTAGCTGCAGCCCAAGCTCGTGCCACCTCCGCGAACCTCCCTTGCTCAATGTGGTGAATTCATGCGAGCTGCTCTTTGGTCGCCGGTCCAGATTTTCTGGGTCTGGCTTGGCAGTCCCGGGAATCTGATCGGTGGGGTCCCCCACAGTTGCGACACTTAGTGAGGGCCTTATACTCGGCTTCCGAGTGCAAATTTGATCCGCAATTCCAGCAGGCTGCAGCACGGGAGCAACCATGAGTGGTGTGGAATCCCAAACAGCGTTTGCGCTGTTGAATTGGTCGACGAGGCTTGTGGATGGTAGCCATACCAGAATCGTCGAAGAGTCGGAATCCCGGTGAAAAAGGGCATGCCAGTTTCGATAAGGTGCTCCAGGCCGAGACGTCTCATGAGGTCGGACCTGAATTGGTGTCCCGCCGGTCGTTACGACTATTCGATGTTAATTGATCGATTTAGATTTAAATTTCTTCTGACTCCTAGACAATTAAATACTTCTCAAGGCTTTAAGTAATCAGTTCCTTGATTTATTGTATAAATTTTGATTAGAAATATCATAACTTTATGCCAGTTGATGCCTTTTCGATGTTAATTTGATTGAAGATACTCATTTAAATTTGATGTCATTGTCCTGAATATGTGCCCTACGGGCCCATATGGTTGTCTATCAACTGTAGTATGTACACGAGAAAGAAATCTTCAGTTGAAAACTGTCCAAACCTTCCTTTTATTTTGCCTTGATTTTCCTAGTTGTCATTCAGCAAGCGTAGCTACACTACAGTGCCATCCATGTAGGCTAAAACATCATCTATTTTGACCTCAAAGATTGCTCGCTCTGTTTCTATACTTCGACAGCATTTGGACCACTTTCTTTATGCGTGATTGCTCTATCCAACTATGATTTAAGATCCATTGTGTAATTTCGTTGATGATGCCAGGACTATTGGTTACGGCTTCGAAGGACCGGTACTTGTCTTGTCTCCTCAAATTACAATTTTGAAATGGTTTTGTGAAGGTGAATGGCCTGATTAGGTGATGCAAAGGTTAAAAGAAAAGGTATAACATAAATTAATAAAGATATTAGTAGCAGATATGAAGGGAAATGATCTTGAAAGTTGCGACTTAACTTAGTTTAATTTCATTTAGCCCGTTTAGGTATAAATAGCTATAATATTTACAGGGAAGTGAAAAATTCAGTGAGTGTGTGTTTTTGTCCTAATGAGTCTGTACCTACGTAAGGACATGTAGGTCCTTTCTGCCTACAGGCCAGGAGTATCTATGCCTCGGGTAGTGTAATCCCTCCTATGCCTCCTTCACGACTTCTTTCCAGCTCTGGGAGACAGTTCTTTGGGATGAACTTGAGAGGGATTAGGACAAGTTGACAAGATGATGCAAAGGAAGGATACAAACTCGAAGGGCGCGTCATTTTGAATTTTGGCAAGAGTTTTACGAATTGAGCTTTATACGCGCCAAGATTTCGCTTGCGAGAGTACAGCTGACACTATAAAAACAAGCTAACGATGGGAGGTGTCGTGGTCGGCCTCCTGGTGGTGTTCTCCGATATAGTCTGAGCAGCCTGGGCACCTACTCCACTTGGGAAGGAGACATCTCAGATCATATTTCGCGCGGAGAAAAGTTGAAAGATGATGGAGGCATGTCTGGATAACTCAGGGTTTTTGAGACGTTTCCCTGGGTGGGTATTCACGGATGAGGGTTGACTTGGGGTGAAGAAAAAGCCGCCATAACTTCGCAGTGGTACTTGCAAATGAAATCTGAGGCATGAGTGCTCTTCCCCTATGTTGAATCATCTATTCTGTACCTTTCTTTGATATTGTGTCATAGCTAGATAGCTGCATACGCAATTCAAATCTGATGCAAAAAAAAAGAGGAGCCGTTATCCCGTCATTATCTCCCCTCTCCAGCCAACGAAGCGATAGTCATTTTCGGATGCGTAGCTGCAGGGAAAAATCGCAAAAACCACTGGATGCGAGGCTCTTCTAATACCGACATCAGGACTAGATCCAAAGACATAATGGTCCTTTTGAAGCGTTCGAAGAGGCTGGCCAACTGGGCGCTGTAGACTTGTGGGTGCCTCGGAGAATTCACACTCTGCTTTTCTAGCCTCCTTCCAACTCCTTCCCGAAGGTCGTGCTGAAACGTGAGAAAAGTCTTATCAGAGCGTGATTGCTGTATGGTAGCTTAGCCCAACTTCTTTTTTGCCTTTTAGGGCGCTGGGGAGTGTCGTTGATTCATTAAAAATAGAAGTCCTGGCTAATTTGCCGGAATCTCAATCTTGGCGCCCACAAACGTGCCAAAGATGAAAAATTCTCGAACACATCAGACCTAATATTCCCATAAGAGTTCTCTTCCCTGTTTCTTTCCATGCCCCAGTCGCCTGTCCTTCCGCAAGATTTAAAACCCTATTAGAGCAACAGTCCTCCATAAACAAAGACCCCAACTCTGTATATCATGACTTGATTTCTTCCTTGCGGGTACACTTAGCGTCGTAAAATTGTTAGTGAGTGATGGCTGGTAATGAATGAGGCAAGCTACTGTTTACAATTGAAGTAACGCCTTTATCGATCGTTAAGGCGAGGTGGGTTGTGGTAAGATGGAGCTAGAGTCGTGTGAGAATGATTAAACTGATACCGATGAGAAGTCGCCGACTATAGATGTGCTTATATTTGCTTTTGACTTTGACCCGGATGCGATTCCTCTTGGCTGTTCCAGATATGCAGAGCATACTAAGAGATTACACCAGAGCCACTGACTTCGTAGTGGTACCTACAAATAAAAACCGGGGCATGAGTTCTTGGATCTCAAATTGAGGCATTTTTAGTCTACTTTTTCTCTGAAATTGTGTCATAAATAAATTGTTGCTTACACAATTAAATTCAGATGCAAACCAAATTCTCAGCAGGTACGTCACATTTTAATTGAGTTCCCTACTTGATGCTAAGTTAGATAGAACATGTTACTACATTTCTGTGAGGCTCGATCGAAAATATAGACCGACATATGTGTTATAACGCCAGCCGCTGTAGTAAAAGTAGGTGTAGTGTAGCAATCGTCCGACGGTTGATACAGGTTGTCAGGATACATGTCTGCTGCTAGCTTTTGCCTCAGCATAGTTTATGTGACGCCATAAATTCCAACTGCAAAAGTTTAAATCAATTTTTCCGATCGTTTTTTTTTGCATCAGATTTTAATTGCGTATGCAGCTATCTAGCTATGACACAATATCAAAGAAAAGTACAGAAAAGATGACTCAATTTACAAGAGCACTCATGCCTCGGATTTCATTCTTTTCCGATCTTTTACATGCATGTCAAGTGCCTGCCTGTGCTTATTTTGTCTTGGATGTATGCTAGATGGCCTTTTCGAAACAAGTTTATGATGCTGAATGGTTTGAATTTAAAATTAGAAATGTGGCATTTTACCAGCACTCTGTGGAGCTTTCATTTATCTTTTAGACTCAAAAATTGTCTCGAAAGGGCGAATGAAATTATTGAAAAAGAGGCAGGGAACTTGGAGGATGTATCACATAGACATACTCGAGTCTGCAGCAACCAACCGATTGGCTTCCCGGAACATTTCGGAAAGATAGCCATGTCTTCGGATCTAGTCATGATCTTAATACTTGGAGAACCCTGCACCCAGTAGTTTCTGCAAGTATTCGCCCTTGGCATAAACCTGCAAGTGGATTTCGTTTCGTAGGTTCTGTAGGGGAGAAAGCAATAGTCAAAGGACTTCTCTTTTTAATCATCTTAGACTTGAGTACGATGCAATGTTTTTTTATTAAAAAAGTCACATATTATTCCATTATCGAACAAATATTTCTGAGGGGCTACTATTTTATGA